GCTTTAGCCTCCTGAGTGCTAACATCACAGCCACACCCCACGACACTTGGGGTGACTTTAGATACCTCATACAACGGAATTACACAGCATTTTCCTTTCTGTGACTTTCATTTCATTTTGGTGGGACTGGGGATTGAACCCAAGATGTTTATTTTGAGCTACACCTTCACCCATTTTTTATTTTGAGATAGGGGCTTGCTAAGTTCCTAATTGGGCTTGAATTTGTGACTCTCTTGACTCAGCCTTCTTTTCTTTTTTAACTTTCTTCTCTCCTTCCCTCTGCTACCACTGCCACTGCCTCTTTACACTTTTTCCCCTTTCTCTTTGTGCGTATGCATGTGTGTGCTACTGGGGATTAAACCCAAGAGGGCTCTTCCACTGAGATCTCTCTCTCTCTCTCTCTCTCTCTCTCTCTCTCTCTCTCTCTCTCTCTCTTTTACAGGGGACCAAACTCAGGACCTTCTGCTTGCAAGGCAGGTGCTTATGCCACTGAGCTATCTCCCCAACCCACCACTGACCTACATTTTGGCCCTTTCAAAAAAATTTTACTTTGATCCAGGTGTGGTGGGGCATGGTTGTAATCCCAGTGTTGTGAGCAGCTACACTACATAGAAATATAGTCAGACAGGGCGAGGCCCTCCAGGAGAGCACGGAAGACAATTTACGTTGCAACTGTGAGAGTGATAGATGCTCCTGCTGTGGGCCAGATCTAGAGACCAAAGATGGAACAAATGCTGACCTCCCTAAAGACAAGCATCCGGGATTGATCATCACCTTGAGGAAGCCAGCAAGAGTCACTAATCCAACCACTACCAGCTGGCTACCCGGTAAACTCCTGTTCCATATCCATTCCTGCTTGCTGCATGACTCGCTTCCCATTTGGTCCTGGACCTAATGAGTTTTGCCTGAGCAATGGTGCTTATAGTCTCATTGGTTGACCATAGCTTTGTCCCACCTCATGTCGCCCACCTAAGCGATTTCCCATGTTCTTCACCTTAGACGCGCGTAGTTTTACTCTATGAAAATCCCTGGAAGAGACAGCTTCCTGGGGACAACCCGCTCGGGGTCCCCCTTCTGTCTCTCTCAGACAGAAGCTTTCTTTCCCCCAATAAATATTCTGCGCTTAACCTCCATTTCTTCCTAAAATTCGTTGTTTGGTTTTAGAGAACGCTAACTCATCCCAGGTACCTTTCAGTTTGGGAGTTTCATTTTCCCCGTATCACCAGCACTCAGGAGGCTGAGGCATGAGGGTCACTGGGAGTTGGAGGCCAGTCTGAGCAAACTTTGGAGCCTCATGTCTCAGCCTCCTTTTTCTTCTCCCCCCGTGGGAAAAAGAAACTTAAAACTGCTCCATTTTTTTTCAAGCTAAAATAAACTGAGTGAAAAATCAGTGCTAGGGGCTGGAGAGATGGCTCAGTGGTCTAAAGCACCTACTTGAAACAAGCTTGGCAAAGCACAGGGACCGTGGTTCGATCCCCAGCACCACATGCCAGCCAGCCCCGCCCCCTGGTGGGCTGAGCTGGCCACACACACACACAATAAATAAATGTAATAAATAAAAATAAATAAATATTTAAAAAAAAATAAGTAAAAAAGAAAAATCAGTGCTCATGCATTTGGAGAGTCCCTGGGCAAACGGGACCTGGGGAAAGGCGCTAATAACACAGAGAGATCCCGGGTAAATGGCAGGCAGGTGTGAGCCATCAGTGTGGCTTCCGGTTGCCTGAACTACCTGCTTCGTGGAAAGTCCCAAAACAAAGAACAGACTACTATACATGAGTCCAAATTCATTGTGAGGGGGCCCGGGGAATTTGTAGGTGCTGCTAGAGAAGATTGTACCTCCCTAGGGCTCAGCCAGTGAGAACGGACCTGCGCAGTCACTTACAAATGCTTTGCTGTGCCGCTCTGGGCTCCTGTCCCTCAGACCTCAGGTCTGCAAGTCTGACTTGATGAAAGCCTGGCTCTTGCTGTCCTTGATGCCTCTGGAGACAATATTTGGGATGGTCTGGGCAAATGAAAAATTTCTCACAGCTTTCTTCCTCTTCTTAAAGACAGGGTATTGCTCTCAGGCTAGTCTTAGAATCTTGGTGATCCTCCTGCTTCAGCCTCCTGAGTGCTGGAATTACAGGCACGTACTCCCTGTTTTTTGTTTTTTCCTTTTTCTTTCTCTCTTTTGTGCAGTACTAGAAATTGAACTCTTGTGCACTCTACTACTGCACTACATAAAATAGAAAATATTTTATAATTTTTTATTAGCACATTTGCAGTACACGGTCATTACATCCATTGTGCTGAGCCTTGGTAAAAATTTTTATTGTAAGATGAGTCTCACTAAATTGCCCAGCCTGGGTTCAAACTCATGATCCTTTTGCCTCAGCCTCCCTAATAGCTGGGATTATACATATGCACCACTAAGCCTGGCCTGTTGCCCCTCTTGATAGTTGAATAATATTCACATGTAAATTATATACACAAAAAAATAAATTATATACACACATTTTGTTTATCCATTAATCTGTTTTGTTTATCCATTAATCTGCGGGTGGACACTTACACTGCTTCAACCTCTTGGCTATTGTAAGTAACGTTGCTATGAAAACAGGAATATAGCTATCTCTTCCAGGTCCTGACTTCAGTTTCTTTGTATACATGCTCAGATGTGAGATAGGTGTATTATATAATAGTTGTATGATACAGTGTGTGTATGATACAACTTTTTTTTTTTTTTTTCAGAACTGGGGATTGAACTCAGAGCCTTGCGCTTGCCAGGCAAGCGCTTATTCTACTGAGCCATCTCCCCGGCCCCAATACAACTTATCTTCTTTGACACCATGAGAGAAGGACTTCCCTGCTTTGTTCAGCTTTGTGATCCCCTTAGAAGAGCAGCTGCTACAAATGCCTGTGCACCACAGCTGGTTGAGGGTGCAAAGGAAGGTGAGGCCAACCTAGACAAGGCTAGAGAAAGGCTGGCAGTCATTGCCCCTGTACTCCCCCATCCCTAGGAATTGAACCCAAGGTCTTCCTGTACTATATGGCACTTCTGTGCCTGATTCTCTAAAATCTGTTATTTCCTGTTTTTGTTTTAACGGTTCAAGTAGCAGTCAACCTAAGGGCTGAGTCGTTTCTGTGTCCCTGGATTTGAGGCGCAGCTAGTTAATCCAGATCATCACATTTCAAAATCCCCACCACTCCCGCAGAGACTGTTTTTCTAAGTTAAGGTCACATGCAAAAGTTCTGGGAGTCAGACACTGACACAGCTTTTGGCGGCCACCACTTAGGCCAACATACCCGCTTCCTCCGCGCCTCATACTCCTGACACTTAAACAAAAAAACCAACCAACGCTCAATAACCCATAGTTGCAGCATGCAAAGCCCACATTGCTCCTGCAGAGCTGGCTGTGTGCGTGCACATCTGTTATGTCCCCTGCTTCTTAGACACTTATCTCCTGTTGACCTTCTGTTTACTTACTTCCTTAGCTTCTTTGACACCATGAGAGAAGGACTTTCGTGTTTTGTTCATCATTGTGATCCCCTTCAAAGAGCAGCTGCTATAAATGCCTGTGCACCACATACTGGTTCAGGGTGCAAAGGAAGGGGAGGCCAGCCTAGACAAGCCTGGCCGGCACTGCCCCTGTACTCCCCTCATCCCTAGGAACTGAACCCAAGGTCTTCATGCTGAGCTACATCTCCAACTTCTTTTATTTTTTATTTTTTTTTAATTTATTTATTTATGTGTGTGTGTGGCTAGCTCAGCCCACCAGGGGGCGGGGCTGGCTGGCATGTGGTGCTGGGGGATTGAACCGTGGTCCCGGGGCTTTGCTAAGCTTGTTCTAAGTAGGTGCTTTAGACCACTGAGCCATCTCACCAGCCCCCTCCAACTTCTTAATTTTCTTTTTTTTTCTGTTTTTTGGAAGGCAGCTATGTTCACCACTATATCATCAACGCAGGCTTTCTGTTTTTTGAGACAGGGTCTCATCATACAGTTCAGGCTGGTCTCTTAACTCACAGTGATCCTCCGGCCTCAGTCTCCCAAGTACTGGAACTACAGGCGTGCACCACACATACAGTCAACCTTTTTTAATTTTCATTTTGAGACATGATTTCACGAAATCACTGTATTGCCCAGACTGAGTTTGAACTAGTGATTCTCCTGCCTAAGCCTCCTGAGTAGCTGGAAGGGCTTTCACCACAGTGCCAGGTGTTCCACCACCTTTGTGGGGGTAAATATACCTAACCCTGGCATCCTGGCACACGCGGCTCAGCAGGAGGATTCAGTTTGAGGCCAGCTTGGGTAAGTTAATTGCACTTTTTTTTTTTTTTTTTCCAGAACACGACGGTTGAAGAAGAAGGAAAAAAAAAAAAAAAGAATGTTAAGGTTGGAGAATGAGGCAGAGAAGCTGTGAAGGGTCACATCTCAGTCCCCTATAGAGCGCTTCCTGAGTAAACTAGAGTGCTGCACGCTGGCGCTGCAGCAGGCGACTGCGAGCTAAACGCTGCGCTCTGCAAGCCAGGAGATTCCTTGCCAAAAGCCAAACTCCCATCCTTTCACAAAGGATCCCAAGCTCTGGTGATCGGCGGTGTATCATCTGGGACGGCTAGCGGGCGCCGCCCGTCCCGGTTTCACTGTTGGTAAACACTCGGCAAGAAGCGCACCAAGCACGCTAGAAAAAAACACCCTGGGCCTCTGTTGTTGCCGGGAGAGGAACGGGTGCCGCCCAGAAGGGAACCAAGCCTCCCGCGTCTCCCCCGAGCCGCAAGCCTCTAGCGCGCGCGTCCTTGGGCAGGGGCAGCGCGCACGCGCAGAGCGCGGCTGGAGCGCGGACGGACACCACTGCGCAGGCGCTTTACCCTATTTGGTTTTGTGGCGTCCCAGGGGCCGCACGCAGGCGCAGAGCGCAAGCGCCCTTCCGGAAGCCGGAGGAGCGGCGCGTGGGCGGTGCTGCGCAGGCGCCCTCTTCCCGGCGGGGGGTGGCCGCGCCGAGGCGGGGCGCAGGCGCAAAGCCGGGCGCGAGGGTGCGCATGCGCTCGGGCGGCGGGGTGCGACGGCAGGTGTCCCGGCGGGCTGGCTGCTGGAGATGTGGAGGCCGTTACTGCTGTTCGTTGCGCTGTGCGCCGCAGGCACCCGTGGCCTCTACTTCCACATTGGCGAGACCGAGAAGCGCTGCTTCATCGAGGAAATTCCCGACGAGACCATGGTCATCGGTTAGGCGGGCTGAGGGTGGAGCGGCCCTGTGTTTTTGCCCAGTCCTCAGAAGCGCCCCTCCTCCCCAGCCCCGCCAGGTCGTCCCCTCCCCCGAGGGCGCCCGGAGGAGCCAGGGTCCTCGCCCAGGGTCCATCCCGGGCTGACGAAGGGACGGTTCCCGACTGTGTGTCTGCCCTGCAGGCAACTACCGAACCCAGATGTGGGACAAGCAGAAGGAGGCCTTCCTGCCCTCGACCCCCGGCCTGGGCATGCACGTGGAGGTGAAGGACCCCGATGGCAAGGTGAGCGCGTCCGTGCAGGGCCCGTGCGGTGCAGGCTGTGCGGCGGCGGCGGCGGCGTCCCGGGGACCGAGCTTGCACTTCCGAGATCCCAGTAAGGGTGGCGGTCACTGATGTGGTTGCAGGTGGTCCTGTCCCGGCAGTACGGCTCCGAGGGCCGCTTCACGTTCACTTCTCACACGCCCGGCGAGCATCAGATCTGTCTGCACTCCAACTCCACCAGGATGGCCCTCTTCGCTGGGGGCAAGCTGGTAAGAGGAATTCTCCTCGGCTTCAACCTGGACTATTTCCAGATTTTGATCAGTTGCCATTGTCATGGGAGATATTTCATAGCACATTCAGAAGTGGGAGACAGATTGTTGTCCTTCTGTTAGCCAGGGCGAGGAGCGTGTTCGGTAGACTGAGACAAACTTCGGAGCCCACTACTCAGACACTCCTGTTTCCTTGCAGCGTGTGCACCTGGACATCCAGGTCGGAGAGCACGCCAATAATTACCCGGAGATTGCGGCTAAGGATAAGCTGACTGAACTGCAGCTCCGTGCCCGCCAGCTGCTTGATCAAGTGGAACAGATTCAGAAAGAGCAGGATTACCAGAGGGTAAGGGAATGTCTCCTTGTGCTTGACCTTTACACCCGCCGGACGCTATTCCAAGTTTGTGCTCCAGGCCTTGGCTGCTTAGGAGATGAGCTCGTGAGAGGCTGGAAGAGAGTAACCTTTTAGATACTTGGAGGTTTTTGCTGATTTTGAGATATGGTCTCACTAGGTACCCTCAGCGGACTTTGAGCTCAGGAGCAGTGATCCTCCAGCCCCAGCCTTTTAAGGGCTAGGATTACAGGTGTATACCACACCCTCTCTTTTGAGGAAATTGGGGCCTCACTTGGACGTGTGGTGCAACTACTGGATCACACCTTCACTTTTATTGTGGTAAAATACATATCACATGACCTGTGTATCTTGAGCCAGTATTTTAGCTGTCTGAAAATACACAGCTCTGTCGCATTAAGTACATTACCATTATTGTGCAACTAGCTCCTCTGTTCATTTTTTAAGATTAAAAAAAAATCTTTTATTCATTCATTTGGTATAGGGTCTTGCTTCGTAGCTTGGACCTGTAGTGATCCTCTTGTCTCAGCCTTCCCAGTGCTGGGATTACAGGCATGTGCCACCATTCCTGGTTTCGGTGGGTGGCACAGCATGTGGCATCAGGGTCCGTGCTGTTGCCAGGCAGGTGCTTAGACTGCCAAGCTATCTCCCCAACCCCACCTCTGTCCACTGTCACCTTTCCAAACAAAAAGTCTGCACTTATTAAATACTCTTTTCCTCTCCTAGTTCCTGGTTTTTTTGTTTGTTTGTTTGTTTGTTTGTTTATTTTATTTGAATTTCAACCTTTTTTATTATATTTTTTTCATAATTTTATTGATAAATAGCAATGAGACAGTTTCAAATCAGATCACTAGGACAGTTTCAATAATTAACACACTGCATACATACCTATTGTTTTTAAATGTCGTAAGTACAATAGTGTTCACAGAGGGTAAAAAAAATTTTTTGTGTGTGTGGAACTGGAGATTGAACTCAGGCCCTTGAGCTTGCCAGGCAAGCGCTTATTCTACTGAGCTATCTCCCTGGCCCCAAGGGCAAAATTTTTTACTTAACACAATGTCCCCAAGGTCCCTCTATGTTGGAGAGTGTGTTCCATTCCCTACCTCTTTAAGGCTGAAGGGCATTCCATTATACATAGGTATTTTACTTGGTTTTAGTTGATTTTTTTAGGTGGCATAAGATAATGTGTAGAGAGGGTAGCTCACAATCCAGGAATAGCTACTGTCTCTTTCCCCTGAACTCTTGTTGGAATGGTGGGAGCATGACTTCAGTCCTAACAGGTGCCTGTGCGAACTGGCACCCCTCATGGACTCACAGGTGGTATTCCTGGAGTTGGTCCTGGAGTTGAGTGGTCACACACAGGGAGGGACCTCAGGACAGCCAGGACTCTTTCTCCTGCTCCTTTAACCCTGTGACCTTCTCTCCTCGCAGTATCGTGAAGAGCGTTTCCGTCTGACCAGTGAGAGCACCAACCAGAGGGTGCTGTGGTGGTCCATCGCACAGACTGTCATCCTCATCCTCACTGGCATATGGCAGATGCGTCACCTCAAGAGCTTCTTTGAGGCCAAGAAGCTGGTGTAGCACCCGCCCATATGACCCTTCTCTCTGCTTCAATTATTTGGTACTTTCTCACCTACTCCCTTAGCCATCTGGCGTTTTGGTCGGGGGGAGAGGAAAAAGAATATATCACCTTGGCACCATGGCAACGAACCAGTCAGAGCAGATACTTGTTTAATTCTGGTTCTCAAGGACACAGAACACTGGTCCAGTCTTTCTGAATCTGTTTTAGGACTTGTGGGAATTGGAACTCAGCTAAGATAAGTCTTGTTTCTTTTGCCTCCTTCTGTTCTCTAACAAAATGAACAAAACCTTCTATTTTCTCTTATGTGTAAGCCCTGCCTCACTGTCCCCTGGCCAGTCCCGGGTTCCCTCAATGGCTTTGTGAATGTAAATAAGGGGCAACTCTCATCCCAGAGGATTGAGATGTTTTTCTATATATTAGAACTATTTTTTGATAAATGATATATTTTCCTTCCTAGTTGAAATATTATTGCCTGTAACTAGCAGAAAACACCAATCCAGTCCTGTGTATCGTTTATTCACATTTTTAAAAACTGCCATGGCAGCTCTCAGGATTCTACCACTCAGTGGGCCAGAAAGCAGTTGTCACAGCTGTTGTCAAGCCCACGTGACATGGCTTCTCAGCCAAGCAAAGCTCTCTTGGACACCTGTAATCCCATCTCACAGGGTGTTGGCCGTAGAGGTAAGATGGGGACAGAGCACACATGAGCAGCACATGTTGACCCTGCCTCTTCCCTAAGTCTCATTTAAGCTCTGGTAAATGTTTTTCCAAAGGAACCAGATTTGGTTCTTTCTATAGATTTTTCTAGTGAAATAAAAGTGTGTTATAGTAGCGATGTTTGAGATGAGATCAGAGATTGTGGGCAGAGGGGTGACAAAAAGAAGCGGGAGGATTTCTAACTGAGACTGCTGGTGTCCTGGGCAGACTGCAGTGTGGCCTTCTCCTTTGTGTCCAACTTGGCAGGCCCATCTCCAGGGCCCAGGGACAGGCAAGGTAGTTACTTAACCATTTTCCAAGGCTAGCCAAGTAGCACATCAGCCAGGGACCCTGAGATTAAGTACTTGCTTTCTTAGCCCCTGAATCATATGCTTGAGTAACTTGATACACCTCTCCAGACCTTCTGTAGAAATTCATAAGATTAGTTGTCCCTTTGTGACATCTTATTTCATGGTCTTATATATTTATTTGAAATCCTATTTATTAAATTACTTTATCTGACTTACAGAACTAAATTCCCTTGTAACTTTTCATTGTGTCCTATAACATTTTTTTTTTTTTTTTTTTTTTGCGGAACCAGGGATTGAACTCAGGCCCTTGCGCTTTCTGGGGAAGCGCTTATTCCACTGAGCCATCTCCCCGGCCCTCCTATAACATTCTGTATACCAGTTTTGCCTGTGTTTTGAGACAGGGTTTCATCATGTGGTTCAGGGTGACCTTGAATACACTGTATAGCCCAAGGTGACTTCAAACTCTCTGATCTTGTCTCAGCCTGCCAAGTGCTGGGATTAGACATGGGCCACTATGCCCAAATTTTGTTGTTGTTGTTGTTTAGAGTTTTTGTATGTAGCCTAAGCTGGCTTTAAACTTGCAACCTCATGCCTCAGCCACCCAAGGACTGGGATTACAGGTTTTGCGCCACCATACCTGGATTCTCATTTAATATTTTTTTGAGACAGGCTCTTGCTATCCAATTTAGGCTGGCCTGGAAGTCTTACATAGCTCAGGCTGGCCTCAGATGAACAGTATTCATCCTGCCTAAGCCTCCTGAGTGCTCAACATATACCAGTATACCTGACACATTTAATATTTTTGTACTTATTTTTCATTTTATGTGTTTGGTACAGGGTCTCCCTAGGCGCTCGGACTCAGTAGTGATCCCCATTTGCAGCTTTCCCAGTGCCGGATTGCAGGTGTGCACCACTGCGCCCTGACTCGCTGCTCAGCACGCCCTGGCCCTCGGGGGTGGGACTGGTGTGGCGTGCAGTTGTATTTGGGTCTTTGAGACACAATTTCATTACCTAGTTTAGGCTGGCCTTGAACTGTATAGTTCTGGGTTAGGCTGTGCCCAGAAAATATCGGTGATTTTTCTCTAGCATCACCCTTGGTTCCATTCTGATTTTTTTTTTGAGACAGTGTCTTTTTTGTAGTTCCAACTGGCCTTGAACTACACAGCCCAGGCTGGCCTCAAACTCTGAGTGCTAGGTGCGCACCACCACACCTGACCAACATTTTTGTTTTGTTAAACTTTATATCTCTGCAAAACAACCTTTTCCCTCACACAGAGAAGAAAAAAGAGCCAGTACGTTGGTGCACATTTGTAATCCCAGCAACTCGGGAGGTCAGCTGAGGGAGGATAAGTATAAGTTGAGGCCAGCTGGGCAATGTAGTGAGACCCTGTCTCAATATAGAAACAGCTGGAGAGTGGCTTGGCACTCTGTGTTCAATCTCCAGTACTGAAGGCGGGGGAGGAAGTGTGGGTTGGGAGGTGCCATTCTCACCTTTTATGGAAGCCCTGTCCCCCAGCTCACGATGGCAGTGCCCATCACTTGGATCCCCAAACTCCCCCCCCCCCCCCGTATTTAGGCCAGGGTCTACAGGGTCTCACTGCATAGATCCCACTCAGTCATCCTCCCAAGTGCTGGGATTCCAGGCGTGTTGCCAGTCTGCATGCCCCAGGGGTGGGGCCAGCACCGCACACCGGGATGAACCCCAGTCGCTGCGTTGTGCCTAAGCAGGCGCTTTAGTCCACTGAGCTGTCGGGCCAGCCCTAGCCCCCCAAACTTACGATGCACAAGGTACTATTCTCTTTCTAATTTAACAGCCAGATCCCAGTTCTTGATACCCAGACCCTGGGCTACGTAAGCTGGATGTACAGGCTCACCCTGGAAGCTCAGTGTAAATTCCTGGGTAACCCAGACTGGTCCATGGCGGGTGCCTGGGTACTACATGGTACGCACGGGATGAGCCCTTAAGGTGTGTCCATATGGAAACCCCTCAAACGCAAGTGTTACCTGAGTGGCAAAGAAGGCTTACAGTGAGATGACTGAAGGGACCTTACCTTGGATCCTCTCGGTGGGCCTAAAGTAATCACAAGGCATTGGTGATGAAAGGGATAATCCATTTCCTTGCAGCCTGCGGCTTGTTTTGTTACCCTTTTTTCATTCTCAAAGCCACTCAGCAATGGGCTGAGTCCTCTGATGTTTTCCTACTTCATTTATTTGAGACAAGCTCTGACGGTGTAGTACAGGCCTGTAGTACAGATCACATCTAGTCCGAGCCTGTACGTATTTTCTGTTGCTACCGTGACAACTTACCACAAACTGAATGGTTAACACAAATTTACTTTTTTTCCGGAACCAGGGATTGAACTCAGGCCCTCGAGCTTGCCAGGGAAGCGCTTATTCTACTGAGCCATCTCCCCGGCCCCCAAATTTACTATCTTAATAGCTCCCAGTAAGGGCAGAACTCTGATACCTTTGTTATTACGCCGGAGAGAACTCTGGCCCGGAGACCTGCAACCTCTGCGCGGGGCCCGACCGCGGCCAGGCCTGGGGTCTCTAGACCTCCGCCCTCCCCTACGGGCAGTGTAAACAGAACCACGCGGCGAAAGCCCCAGCAACTCGAAGCTACCGGTCGGAAGCTACGGGGACCCCGGGCCGGGCGGCACCGGGCGCTGCGCAGCCGCGGACCGCCGCTGAGATGCCGGAAGCTCACGCGCCAGCTCTTCCGGGGAGTGCCGGTTTCTTGGAAGCTGATTGGGCGATGTCCCGCCGCCCCGCCCCCGTGCGCTCGCGTCATTCCGGCTGCGCGTGCTCGCTGTCAGTGAGGAGCCATGGCCGATCTGGAGAGTCTGGGCTTCGAACACATGGGCCTGGACCCCCGGCTCTTGCAGGTATCGGGAGGGCTGGGAACGGGAGGTCTGCCCACAGGCACCGCAGGGCGCGCCGCCGCCGTCCGCGCCCCCTGAGCCGCGCTTCGCGTCTCTCTTAGGCTGTCGCCGACTTGGGCTGGTCTCGGCCCACGCTGATCCAGGAGAAAGCCATTCCGCTGGCGCTGGAGGGGAAGGACCTGCTGGCTCGGGCGCGCACGGGCTCCGGGAAGACGGCCGCGTATGCTATCCCGATGCTCCAGCTGCTGCTTCACCGGAAAGCGGTGCGTCGCTGGGGCGTGGATTGGAGGAGGGAAACAAGCCCCAAAGGGGCGGGAAGAGGAGGTGCCAGGTGTTCTCTGCCTGGCTGGTCCAGTGTGACCCACGCACTGGGGTGGACTTTGTCCTAATCCGGACCCTGCTGCCACTGCCATCAGCCGGGGTATAATGTATGAACTACCAGGCTTTTATAAAGATGGGTTATTTGTCCGTTTCTTATTTACACAATTATTGTGAGAGTCAGCTTTAATACCTTGAGCATTTCATGTTAACTTGTAACAACAGAGCGAATTGTTTTCCAGCGTCAGTACCTGGGAAAGCCCTCCATTGTGTTCTGAGGCAGGCAGGGGGAAGAGCTGAGCAGAACAGGCTAAGCATTTGTACTACAGTGCACGGGTTGACCCGGGAGGAGTAAAGAATTAGGCAGACCCAGTGACATGCCTGCTGCTACAGTCTTTGATTCTTGTTCTTACAGACAGGTCCTGTGGTGGAACAGGCTGTGAGAGCCCTTGTCCTTGTTCCTACCAAGGAGCTGGCTCGGCAGGCTCAGTCCATGATTCAGCAGCTGGCTGCCTATTGTGCTCGGGATGTGCGGGTGGCCAATGTGTCAGCTGCGGAAGACTCAGCCTCACAGAGGTGGGTGAAAGCTGCCAGGGAGCAAAGCTATGCAGACGTGCGATTGGGTTTGTGTGTGGTGAGAGAGCGGGCAGATCTGGGGTGAGGTCTGGCTGCTGAGCTCTTCCTGATACTGCCATCTTGCCTCCTGCAGAGCTGTGCTGATGGAGAAGCCAGATGTGGTCGTGGGGACCCCATCCCGCATATTAAACCATTTGCAGCAGGACAACCTGAAACTGCGGGACTCCCTGGAGCTGCTGGTGGTGGATGAAGCTGACCTTCTGTTTTCCTTTGGTTTTGAGGAAGAACTCAAGAGTCTTCTCTGGTAGGAAGGGACGGGGTGGTTCCCAGTGGAAAAACCAGTGAGCTGAGCCTTGGAGTGGGGCGAGCGGGAATGAGTGGAGGCTCAGCTCCTATACTTGGCAGCCCATGGAGCTAAAATTTTCTTTCTTTCAGTCACTTGCCCCGGATTTACCAAGCTTTTCTTATGTCGGCTACTTTTAATGAAGATGTGCAGGCCCTCAAGGAGCTGGTACTGCATAATCCGGTAAGAGGCAGCTGTGCTACAGGCAGGCAACACTTGAAGGACTTGGTGCTCCTTCTCAGAGGAACCTTTGGAATTTTGGGTGGACTGTTGCCACTGGTGTGTCATTCGTGGTTGTGAGGCATTGAAAATCAGCATCAGATGGGCATGGTGGCGCATACCCATAATCCAGCACTCTGGAGGCTGAGGTGGGACGATAGCCATAGTTCAAGGCCAGCCTGGGCTATACATTGAGTTCAAGACAAGCCTGAACTACATAGCAAGGCCCTGTCTGTATATTCTCAGATGTCCCCAGTTCAAACTATGCTTTCCCTGAAAACTTACAGAGAGGACCCTCACCGGTATCCCTAAAGGACTGTTTTGAGTGGTAGACCAAATTTTTTTTTATTTTGCGGTACTGGGGATTGAACTCAGGACCTTGTGCTTGGTAGGCAGGCACTTATTCTACTGAGCTATCTCCCCAGCCCCCAAGACCAAAAATTTTAAGGGCAAAGTTCTCACTTTTTATAAACCAACCAAGAGAACTGTTGCTATAGGCCTGCCCAACTTGGTAGCTTCATTTGTCAGTGCGTGTCTTCATTCCCTGCCCTGAGTGCTTTATGCATGATGTTAGGGCACAGTTGGGGCACTTGGAGTCCTTGGGTTCCAAAGCTCTTGCACACTAAACATCCTTAGGACATCTTTGCCCTCCACAAAAGCATCCGTGCTTTGGTTGGCGAGCCATCGACCCTAGTGTCTGTCGTCTCTCTCTCCTGACTGCAGGCCTGTCCTCTCCCTAGGTTACCCTGAAGTTACAGGAGTCCCAGCTTCCAGGGCCAGGCCAGTTACAGCAGTTTCAGGTGGTCTGTGAGACTGAGGAAGACAAGTTCCTGCTGCTGTACGCCCTGCTCAAGCTGTCACTGATTCGCGGCAAGTCCCTGCTCTTCGTTAACACCCTGGAGCGGAGTTACCGGCTCCGACTCTTCCTAGAACAGTTCAGCATCCCGACCTGTGTGCTCAATGGCGAGCTCCCTCTGCGCTCCAGGTTTGTATGGGCCGCGTCTTGGTGGGGATGGTTGCAAACCGGTGTAGGAAGGGACCCAGCTGATTCCTGTCTTGTCAGCACGTAGTAGAGGACAGGCTCTGAATTTGGCTGACAGTTACTGCCAGAACTCCAGAATACCCACTTTTATTCCATTTCACCAAAGTTACAGAGTGGAAAGAGATGAAGGGGAGGAGGAAGCAGGATGCCAGCGATGTTACACTTTATGCCCACTGGGCTGACCTTCCTCTTGGGCTGCAGGTGCCACATCATCTCTCAGTTCAACCAAGGCATCTACGACTGTGTCATAGCAACGGATGCTGAAGTTCTTGGGGCTCCAGCCAAGGGCAAGCAGCGGGGCCGAAAGGCCAAAGGAGACAAGTGAGTCTACCTTTCTCATCTTTTCTTAGCTCTTGCCAGGGAGCCCTGTTTCTCAGTTTGTTTGAAAACAGTCCAGAGCGCACTGAGCAAGGGGTCTTGGTCTAGGTGGCTGGTGGTGAACGGGAAGAGCCCTGTGGCCCTCGCTTAGCTGCCTGACTGTGGGAACCCAACCAGTGTGAAGGCTGCTCACTGATGTGTTTTTTTAATGGTGCAGTAAAGAGATAGGCAAGGTAAAAGAAGCCTTTATGAGCTCCAAAGACATGGGGAGGATCGAGGGAAGACGGGGCAGATCCTCTGACCGGAGACAAAGAAAGCGGAGACTTTTAGGGACTTTTGCTAGGGGTAGAGTTTGAGGGGGCTGTTTAGAAATACCTGAGGAGCTGGTTTGGAGCCTTCCCTGTGGTGGTGGGATAGGTGAAAGAAAATTGCACCCTGGGCTGTGTTGGAGAAGAAGGGTGGAGGTGGTCTCTGGGAAGATAAGCTGTTATTTTCAGGGCTTCAGCCATATTAGATGGCCACCATGATAATTCAGCAGTGCATACCAGGGCCAGAACCTATCGCTTAGCATGTGTACCTGCTCTCTGCCAGAGGCCAGCCCACCTGCCATGGGTGGGGGCTGGCAACCGCTAGAAACATGTTTCTGAGGAAAAGGGAAGCTCTCGGGTCTGGCTGAAGGGATCACTGGCCTAGAGAGAGTCCCTAGGTCACCACAGTTGAGGTCGGCACAAGATTCTGGCCCTCTGTCAGAGCTCAAGGCCAACCATTCTATCTCCGTTCCTGGAGTAGTTTAACTGTGTTACAGTTCTGGGGATTGAACTCAGAACCCAGATACTTGCTGTGCAGCCCCCCCAGCTTCTGGAACAATTTTGAGGGTTTGAGTTTGATTGGTTTTGTGTTTTTGAGACACAGTTACACTATACAGTCCATGCTGGCTTTGAGTTCAAGCAGTCCTTCTGTCTTGAGTGTTGCAATTGTAGGTGATAGAGGGGAAAGAAACTCCTAACCCGAAACATCCCTGGGTTGAGTTCCTGTTTGTTAGTCCTTCATCACAGCAGAGGCAGAAGAAAAAGAAAGGCCTTTGTTGAGGACACAGAGAGGACCACAAGAAGACGGCAGGGGTCCTGTAACCTGAGACAAAAGGAGCTGGGATCATATGAATTTGTATGGGCAGATTTTAGGGGACTAGGAGAGGCATTAAGGAGCTGAGTGGGTTTTTTTCTTTTCACGAGGGACCAATAAGAGGAGGTTGTAGGGTTTGATCTCCGGTGTGCCGTGCCCCCGGGGCAACAGTGACTGAGACTGGGCCTGCTGGTATGCACCTATAATCCCAGTGCTTGGGAGGCTGAAAACAGGAGGATCACTATGAGTCTGATCTGTGTAGTGAGACCCTGTAGATCCTGTACTAAATACATTTAAGAAAAAAAAAAAAAAAGAAGAAGTTATATTCATTCAGCGCTGAGGGGAGAGGATGGGCAGTGGTCATTGGAAAGATATGCTGTTGTTTTTGGGCTTCAGCCATGTTAGACCCCACCATAATGGTTCAGCAGTTCATACTAGGGCCAGAACTTGTCAATGTTCTTTAAAAACCGAAGAATGTATTTTAGAAACAGATTAAGAACAGAATATATTCATTGAGGGAAAAATGCTTCTCTACAGGAGAGGGACAGAAGGAGATAGTGGGTTGCCAAAACCCTGCCTTTTCTAGTTTTATAGTGTAAAACCTTTAGGTAAGGCGGGTCTGAGGTGGAAACATGGGAACTTGCAAGATTGATCTGAGGCCGGACTAAACTACGGTCCACCAATAAGATTACAAGTTTAATTGCTCGGGTAAAATTGATTAAATCAGGACCAAATGGAGAAAGAGTCATGTAGCAAGCAGGCATGAGTACTGAACAAGGGTTCTTCCTGTAGGGGGTTGGGTCAGTGGCTCTTCTTGGCCTTCTCGAGGTGATTGATTCCAGTTCAGACTTAGCTAATGTCCATCCCTAGGAAGGTATGTGGCTGCATCTGTTAATCTTTTGACTTGAGGCCTGGCCCACAGCGGAAGTGCCTGCAAGGTGTCCTGGCTTCCATGCTGGCTCCTTCTTGAGGCCCAGCCCCGTCTGACTGCCGTATAATATTCCTGTCTCAGCTGCCTATGATACAGATAGGCACCGCTATGCCTGGCATCTCCAGGGTGTTTTTGGTTTTGTTTTTCATGTAGAAGTCTCATGAGGTCTCTTCAGTTACCTAGGGGTGGAATTTATAATCTTCTTGCCTTGGCCTCCCAGGGCCAGGGACCACAGGCGTGCACCACCATGTGCATTCCTAGAACGGCTTTGGAATAGAGTAGTCTGGTGTATATATAACAGAGTCTTGTGGCCTTCAGTTTTGTTTAGAGGATATTTTGCTGGCTAAGCTTAAGAACCCATCTTAGAAGAGAAAAGAGCTGAGCTGATGTGGATTGTCTCCGCAGAGCCTCCGACCCCGAGGCAGGTGTGGCCCGGGGCATAGACTTCCACCATGTGTCTGCTGTGCTCAACTTTGACCTGCCCCCCACCCCCGAAGCCTATGTCCATCGGGCTGGGAGGTAGGAGGGTCGCCGGTGGGAGTGGGGAGGGCAGAGGGCTTGGTGGGCCGGCGGAGCCCACGGGCACAGGGCTGCAGGCTGGGTTGTCTCCCGTTGTCTCGCAGGACAGCGCGCGCCAACAACCCCGGCATAGTACTGACCTTCGCGCTGCCCGAGGAGCAGTCACAGCTAGGCAAGATCGAGGAGCTTCTCAGTGACGGTGAGCGCCCTGGCTCCTGGGGACCTCGGGCCAGGCTTCCTCCATGGCAGCCCCTGTGGGGCAGCCACTGTCCGCCTGCACTGGGAGCAAGCGGGTGAACTGTGCAAAGCCTTGAGTGTGGTCTGCCTCTGATCGGCGTGTGACTGCTCAGTGCTGAGTGCACGTCTCACCCGGCGGTGATGCTCCTGTCTGAGCACCTCCTGCTCCTCTCTCCACAGAGGGTGAGGCTCCTGCCCTGCTTCCCTACCAGTTCCGCATGGAGGAGATCGAGGGCTTCCGCTATCGCTGCAAGGTGAGGTGGATGCTGTAGGGGCAGCTGTGCCCAGGTCCCATCCCTGGCTGACCCCTGGTGTCTGCCCCGCAGGATGCCATGCGCTCAGTGACAAAGCAGGCCATCCGGGAGGCGCGGCTGAAGGAGATCAAGGAGGAGCTCCTGCACTCGGAGAAGCTCAAGGTGAGGCATGTGTCTGCGTCCAGCCCCATGGGGTTGGCATCCGGAAGTCGGCACAGCCTGGTGCACCCCTGCCTAGGTTCCACAGCATGGGAGGTGGAGGTGCTTGGGTGTTTGGGAGCTGCTTTGGGGTGACGCCAGGTGAAAGCTGCAGAAGGGCTGTTGGGGGTGCATGGGAGAGAGCTTGAACCAGTGTAGAAGTTGCAAGGTCACCTGTGGGTGGGAACAGTGACAGGAACGGAAATGGTAGGAAGACTATAGTGCCACCTCATGTCTTGAAGTTTTAAAGCACATGGGTCTGATGCCTTTCCAAAGATTCAGGCCCACTGGGTGCAGTTGTGGTACCAGCTGCTCCAGAAGCTGAGGCAGGAGGAGTGATTGATCCCAGGAATGAGGAGCTTGGGCAACATAGTGAGCCCCCATCTTAAAGAAACGGGTCTGGGGTGTCACTTAGTGCAAAGCACTTACCTAGTACCTGCAAGGCCCTGCCTGAGTTGATAACCTTTTGCTCCAAAAATAAAGTTGCAAACCAAAAGAATTGAATGTACAAAGTTACAAAGCTGCTGACCTGCTGAGCTCTCTGCCTTCCCAGACATACTTTGAGGATAACCCCCGGGACCTGCAGTTGCTCCGGCACGACCTGCCCCTACACCCCGCGGTGGTGAAGCCACACCTGGGTCATGTCCCTGACTACCTGGGTGAGTGGTGAGGGAGGGTCTGGGTGGCGGGAAGGCTGAAGTAACCAGAAAGGGAGTCCCCGGATAGACATCTTGGAGATGCCATGGCGAGTGGCTGAGAGGGGAGATTGGAGCCCTGGCCTTAGCCCCCTGCCAGGAGCAGGGTCCCTCACCAGCCCCTGTGGCCTGGCCTTTGGCTCAGGGCCCACATCAGGAGCCCTGGATGTCATGGAAAGCCAGCGAATTTGTCATGGGGCCACGTGTGAAGGTTGCCTGAGCCTGTCCTTTCCTGCACCTCCCTGCCCTCCCTCAGAGCTGAGTGTTCTACCCCAGGAGCTAGTGTTCTTCTGTCCCTGTGTTTGTGTGAGAATGAGTCTCTGTGTGTCATTTATGGCACAGTTGAGAGCGCAGTACTGGGAATTCTGTTGAGAGGGTGCAGTGTCCATGCAGTCTGGGGATGGCTCTCCTGGGGTTGGGGTGACAGAAAGCCCCAAGAGTGGCAAGTTGACCGCTGAAGCCTGGTCTCTTCCAGTCCCTCCAGCGCTCCGTGGCCTTGTGCGCACCCACAGGAAGCGGAAGAAGCCGTCCTCTGGCAGGAAGGCTAAGGTACACCCTGGGGCTGCAGAGAAGGCTGTGGGGTCTCCCCACCTTGGCCCTTGCTGTCACCAGGACATTCACATGTGCCTGGGGGGGAGGGAAGTCTGGGATTTGGGCTGTGCTGTCCCCCCCTGTGCCCACAGCAGCTGTTGCTCCTTGGACCCTGGGCTGCTTAGTGCCATCTCAGCAGGGACAGTTGCCTGCTGGGCCCTCTAACCCAGACCCCACTCTGCTCCTCAGAAGGTGAAGACCCAGAATCCACTGCGCAGCTTCAAGCACCGAGGGAAGAAACCCAAACCTACGGCCTTACCATCCTGAGGCCACCAGGCCGTGGCACGGGAAGGGAGCTCCGTGCCCAGCACACCACATGCCCGGCACTGTGTTGGGCACACAGACTCTGGGGACTGGGCTGGCACTGCCAGGCTGTCTAACCCCAAGATTCCAGCTGCGCATGGTGACGTGCCTGTGGTCCCAGCTGCTCCAGGGGCTGGTGGAGGAGGGTTGTGAACTGGACGTTGGCCTGAGCGACGTAGAGAGACCCTGTCACAGAAAGAAAAAGGGCTGGGGGTGTATTGAGGTATAGAGCCCCAGGGTTCCACCCCAGTATTGTGATAACAAACCAACTGAATAAACCTCTTCCACCTGACTGGTGTGAGAAGCAGCTGCTGCCCCGCTTCCGTTGGTTGCAGTACTGCCTGTGGTCAGCAGAGGGCAGCAGTGCCCAGCTGCTCCGGCCCCACCCAGCGCTCTGCGTGGTCCTGCCCTGGAAGTTGTGGGAGATGTCCTTCCTGACCTAGAGCTGCCTGCTCCCCAACATGTGCAAATGGCATTCAGGGGCATCAGGGCCGCTGTCCCTCCTTCCAGGTTGACGGCTCACGTCTGTCAGGTGCAGGAAACGTGTGACCCATAGGCACAGGTTGAGTACCCCTCTTCCCAACCTGAAACCAGGCCTCCTGGCCCCGAGGGTGGACACCACCTATTCTGTACCAAAGCTGCTCCCGGTGTGCCCTTCGTGTCACTCAGCAGACATCACAGGTGGGCTGGAGCACATACAGGCAGGGAGCGGAGGCAGAAGGTAGGCACAGGTCATTCAGGCCCAGAGGTTGGCTTGCGAGGGGATGCAAGGAAGGGGCTCCCTTTCTCCACTCCTCTCCTGCTAACCCCAGTAGCAGGAAGTTGGGGTGTGACACTGGGGTAGAGACCAATGGGTGGGTGTGAACTAGGTGTCGAGGGTGCCTGAGCCAGGCACTGCTAGAGAAGCTGGAGACGTAGTCGCCCTGAGAGCGCCAGAAGGGGCATGTGTGCTGTGTGCAGCGGCAGGGCACTGCAGGTGCGCTGGCTTGTGAGGGTCTTTGGGGCAGTGAGTGTGCTGGTGGCAGTCTTAAAGAGGACAGCAGCCTGTCCTGGGGCTTGCTTCTGACCTTGTCACCAGTGGAGGGCCTGTGTTGAGAGCCGCCGGTTGATTTCCTCTGCAGTTCTCTTGGGAGGATGGAGTGGGTGAGTGTGGAACCAGTGCCTATCCTGTGCAGTGTATCGCGAACCAGTGGGGGCTGGAGGAGCTGGTGGTTCCCCACATGGTCCCTTCCCTGGTCAACGCAGCCGCAGGGACTCTCCTGAGTTCTGGATTCTGGGGCTGCGGGCTGAGGTTCAGGAGGTCGCTGGGTGCAGCAGCATGGTGGGAGGTGGCTCAGCTGCCAGCTGGTAAGGAACTGGTGCCACCATTTGGGGACCTCTGCTGTCCCTTCTGGGCTCCCGTAGCCCTTCATTGGTTGGATCTGTGCTGGCTGGGCCAGAGAGAGCAGAGGGGCCTTTCTACTTTGACCATGGAGGGGATGTGGAACCACTATGACATCTACACAGCACTGTGTCCCCTGTGAAGGACAGTAGCCAGGCAGTGGGGCTCTTTCCTACACTCTGCCTCCAAGTGGGGACTGTGTGTTGACCTTGTGTCCCAACCAGGATGGGATAGACTTGGGACAAGGTGTGCATAGGGCCAGGAGGACAAGAAGGGGACTGTGTCCCCCTGAGGCTCAGACAGTGGCCAGACAGGCTGAATGCTGTGACATCACCTGCAGCCCAGCTCTGAGCCCATGTGGCTGGGTTGTCTGTGGGTCCCCAGTCACCTCCTGAGGCAGGGACCCACACTTGCTGCTGCCAGCCTGGGGCCAGCTGGTTGCAGGTACTGGGGTTGCCCTCTGGGCCCTGAGGCCTGGCATGGAGGTAGACCATGGGTGCCCACGTCACTGTGGGCAAAGCGCTGTGGGGACCTCATCCAGGGGGAGGGAAGTTTTAAGCCAGGCCTGGTGGTGCACACCTGTAATTCTACCCTTTGGGAGTCAGGCCAGGAGCTGGTAAATTCAAGCTCAGCCTGAGTAACTTAGTGAATTCCTGACTCAAGAATATAAAATAAGGAAGGGGGCTGGGGATGTCGCTCAGTTCCGAGACCCTGTGTTCAGTTCCCAGTACCACTGAAAGAAAAGTTTCTGCGGAGAAAGAAGGAGTGTAAGGGAACTAGGGACCTGGCCAGGGGGCCCAGCATGCTCGGTGACAGGAGCTTGGTCGTTGCCAGTGTATGTAAGAGGAGATTAAAAAATGCTGGGAATAGAACGTAGTCACACGTTAGGAAACAAAAACAAAAGGACACGGAAGTGCAGGGCTCTGGCGGGGCGCCTCCATCAGATACGAGGGCAGGGTGTGCCCAAACCTCTGGACTTTCAGGAGGTTGTCGTGTTCCGCACCAGCTATTTGTGTCCCCATCTGCCAAGGATTAATGACTCAGCTTTTGACTCAGTGGACTTTGACCTTGGGGGTTGGTGCCCCGAGGAGGTGATGAATTGAGTGGGGCGAAGCATCCCTTGAAAGTCATCCTCTAGAAAAGAATTCATATATGACAGCCACCTTGCAGCAGGGACTGTAAGTGGCTGTTTATTTTTTACTGTTCATTTTTCAGACAGAATCTCACCATGTAGCCCAGGCTGGCTCTGACTCAGCAATGCCCCTGCCTCAGCCTCCACAGAGTGCTGGAATTACAAGGGTGTACCACCATACCCAGCCACTTTGGGGTTTGTTGTAAGTGGGGTGACTTCCCTTCTAAGGGCTAGTGTGAGATGTGTGTGATGCACTCACGTGGCCCAGGCACCTGGCATCCCCACCGGCACAACTCAGGGCTGACACTTATAATCCCCATCCTGACTGAGTCCACGGAGCAGCCGTCCCCCCAAATTCCTCTATGTACAGCGGATCACACGGAGGGCTTTTTATTTTTTCCTGTACTGGTGAGTGAACCCAAGAGCTTTATGTTGAGTGACATCCTCAAGCCTTTTAAATTTTTTGACACAGGGACTCACTAAGTTGCCAGGCTGTCTTGACTGGCCAGCCTCCTGGCTCAGCCTCCGCGAGTGCTGTGGATGTAGCTCTGCGGTCCTCCTAGACTGCGGTCCTCTGTTTAAGCTCTATTTCTACAGACAGACAGCTAGGACAGGGTTAAGGTTCTGAATTTCTCCTTTGTTTGTTGAAACAGGGTCTCACTGGTCTTGAACTTACTGTGTAGCCCAGGTTGGCCTCTTGGCAGTCCCCCTGCCTCAACCTCCAGAGTGGCAGGATTGCAGGCATGTGCCACTATGCTGGGCAAATTCTGCCTGCCCTTCCTTCCTTCCTTCCTTCCTTCCTTCCTTCCTTCCTTCCTTCCTTCCTTCCTCCCTCCCTCCCTCCCTCCCTCCCTCCTTCCTTTTTCTTTCCTTTTTTTTGTGGCCAGCTCAGCCCTCCAGGGGCAGGGCTGGCATAGCATGTGGTGCCAGGGATCAAACCACAGTCCCTATCCACTTGCCTAAGCTTGCCTAGGCAGGCGCTTTAGACCACTGAGGTATCTCGCAAGTCCAAATTCAGCATTTCTTACAGGTGTTTTTCCTGTTGGGCTCCAGACCACAATTTGAGGTTTGCCATGCCTCTACAATTTGCAGATTGGCAAACTAAGGCACAGATTAAGTGTCAAACCCAGCACCGTCACTCAGGTAAGTGGTGACATGGGGGGGGGTGCTCATCTGGTGAACTCAGCTCTGCCTCAGTCTCCCAAGGGCTGGGATCACAGGCATGCACTATCTTGCAGCTTCATTTTTAAAAAATGAAATTCTATTTGGCTTGTCCCTAAAGAGCATCCCTCCTATTTTGAGGGTTTTCTTCCTGACCCTCCTTTCCCCAAGGACAATTTTCAGGTAAAAGGAAAGGAAAGGACTCACCAGGGGCATGTGTATGGAGCTGCCCTATGTCCCCTCCAACCCCCAGGTGTCGCCTGTGACTCAGGCTGACTCCACCCATGTCTTGGCATGATGCCATGTGTGCCAGGATGGTCCCTGCGCCTGGGAGCCCTGGCTGCAGGCCTGTCTCATAGTAGCTTTGGTCATGACCTGTTCAGCAGTGCTGTCATTTCGGGGATCTCTGCAGAAGACAAAAGTCCCCGACTGGAAGCCACTCTGCCCAGAGCTGCCCGAGTCTCCATGCTGGTCGCCCTGGTGTGGACTGGCTGTAGTGTGCCTGGCCTGCCTGAGGGAGAAGGGGGGACCCTGCCCTGCCAGAACCCACAGCTGGGGTCCTGGCTACTGCCCTGCTGGGTGACCAGGAGTTGTCTCCTCCCAAGGGTCCCAGTGCAACATCCTCTGAGCGGAGGGTCTTGTCTATCAGAGGTAGAAGTGGCCCATATGTGGGGACCTGGCTGGAACCGTGTCCTGGAGCAGGTAGACTAAGGCCTTCCTGACGGGAAGAAATGGGCACAATCAGGGACATGGAGCAGTACCTCGGCCTCCAGCAGCTAAATGCGTGGAGCTGCAGCCACATGGTGACAAGGGGGCCACACAAGCTGGCTGCTGGCGGAAGTGGCTGCTGATGGGCAGTAGAGGCCAGGGATGGGGGTGGGGTGTCCTGAGAGAGCTATGGCCTGGTTACAGCAGAGCAGGGACACAGGGCTACCAGCTGGCTGAGCAAGGCCTGTCAGTCCCAATGGCATGTGGCATAGTGTGAGGTTTCAGTTGTCGCACACACACAAACAAAAAACAAACAGTGCAGCACACCCATTTGATCAATAAGAATTTAAAAAATGTGTATAGGCTGGCATGTTGCTGCCCATATAGGGTCCCAGCACTCGGGAGGCTGAGGCAGGAGGAGCGCCGCAAGTCCCAGGCAGACCTGGGCTATGAAGTGTGTTCAAGCCCAGGCTGAACTGCATAGTAAGAAGACCCTGCTTCAAAAAGACAAAACAAATTGCATACAGTCACACTAAGAAGCGGTGACTTTAAACTCTGTGGATAGAGATGATTATTAGAGTGAGACTACGAAATGTTTGAGCCCTAGCTAACAAAGCTAGATGTGTGGAATCGCTCCTCGGCTGCGGCTGGGCCTCCTGCGCGTCGTGGAGCACGGGCTCCAGCCTCGGCCCCTACGCCCACGGGCCCAGTGCCGGGCGCTCCAGGGCCTCGGTGCATGGCTTCGAGGTCGCACCCCTTCCGTGTGCTGACGCCACCATAGCAGCCGCCTGTGGTGGTGGAGCCTGTGACCCAGCTCCTGGAGGCTGAATCCACAGCAGGGTCCACTCTTTTTTTGGTGGTAGAATCTACACTAACATACAAATTCCCATTTCTGCGGACAGTTCAGTGG